GCATAACCAGGTCACACGACACTTACCTGTGAGGCCCGACCTCCAAAGATGGATAACGACTCACCCCCCTCTCTCATAGGTCCTCCTGAACCCTAGCTACCACTACACGAAGTGTCCTAGTATGACTAAGAGGGCCTCCCTACACCCCTGTTACAAGGCCGGATCCCCCGTCGATGTCCGAAGACCAAAGTAGCAACTTGCAGTTCTCCGATGCAGATATGGCAGCCTTTGATCAAGTCTCCCTCCTGAGGGGAAGCCAAAAAGTCACTCAATGTCTTCTTGAAGTGCAGATTCGAGGTGCGAGTACCTCTCACTCTCTACTCCCTCTCGCTTACTCCAATCAGCCTCCTTTGTGTCTCGCCACCCCATCCAATCACACAAGCTACCTGGTCAGGTCTGATGTCGACCCTACATGACCTAACCAAGCGGGGGCAGTATTCACATACCTCACTGCCCCTCTTAACCCTACCTTCCCAACCCTAATCCGGGATTAGGTTAGCCCTGACCTACTTCGGAATTAGGTTTAGGGTGACTAGCACCTCTCGCCAGCAAGTAAGTCCGCTCCGATACCAATTGTTACGATCCTGGTCATTCCCAAAGTGTAAATTCACAATGAAAGAGAATGCCACCCAATTGCGAAAGAAATGAAAGCACTTGCAATGAGATAGAGACCAGAGAAGAGAGAAAGAAGAAGAAGAAGAAACAGAAGAAGAAGAAGAAGATGTACACCAGCAAGACCAATGACAAATCCCCTCTTCTCTCTCCACCTTCCTCCTCCTCCTACACTTCGCCAATCTTATTCTTCTCCCAATAATAATAATAACTGTGTACAGATCCGGGCCGCCCGGCCGACCATCGCCTGCCCGGGGGAGGTCCAGTGCGGCCTGGCCGGGCGGGCGGCCCGGTTGGGGGCCGGGCCCCCCCAGCACACCTTGCTGGCGGGGGGTTTCCGACCCCGAATCGGCCAGATTATGTCTCCCCAGGGCCTACCAGGTCCGACCACGCCCAGAAAACGGCGCGTCGGGCCCGTGAGGTCTGTTTTTTTTTTTGAATTTGTGACGGCCCTCCGGTCCATGATCGACGGCCAGAGGGCCGTTTGTTTTTTGGAGGGAAAACCCAGGCCCCGTTTGAACAACGACTGGCTTGGGCGGCCTGCATTGGCTGTCGAAACAGGGCCTCCCTCCGGCCACCTGCGTTCGTCCTCGATTCGCCCTCGCTCCTCGCGCTGCCCGTTGTCGCCATCGCTTGGAGCTGCGCTCGCCCGTCGTCGTGGAGTCGCCCGTCGCCGGTCGCCAACGTCGTGGAGTCGGCCGTCGCTCGTCCCCCTCTCATCTTCTTGTTCTTGTTCTTCTTCTTCTTCGTCGTCTTCTTCTTCTTCTTCATCTTCTTCGTCTCTCCTCCTCCTCCTCTTCCGACTATCTTTTTTTTCTTCTTTTTTTTTTGTTCCATTCATCAGCGATAGGTCGCGAGATAAACGACAGGTAAGAAAAAGAAAAAAAACTGCTCCGCTCTTCTTCTTCTTCTTCTTCTTCTTCTTCTTCTTCTTCTTCTTCTTCTTCTCTCCTCCTCCGCCTCCTCATCTTCTTCTCCTCCGCCCCTTCTTCTTCTTCTTCTTCCTCTTCTTCTTCTCTCCTCCTCCTCCTCTTCCGACTATCTTTTTTTTCTTCTTTTTTCTTGTTCCATTCATCAGCGATAGGTCGCGAGATAAACGACAGGTAAGAAAAAGAAAAAAAAAAACTGCTCCGCTCTTCTTCTTCTTCTTCTTCTTCTTCTTCTTCTTCTTCTCTCCTCCGCCTCCTCATCTTCTTCTCCTTCCTCTTCTCTCCTCCTCTTCCGCCCATCTTCTTCTTCTTCTTCTTCTTCTTCTTCTTCTTCTTGTTGCAGGACCGCCGCTGCAGCCTGCCGCCATACCCCGCCACCATACCCTACCGCCCTGCCGCCGCCGCCATCTTCTTCTTCTTCTTCTTCTTCTTCTTCTTCTTCTCTCCTCCTCCTCCTCCTCCTCCTCCTCATCTTCTTCTCCTTCCTCTTCTCTCCTCGTCCTCCTCTTCCGCTCTTCTTCTTCTTCTTCTTCTTCTTCTTCTTCTTCTTCTTCTTCTTCTTC